CTCCTCAACTACAACATCATTCTTAGATGAAATAGTGATCGGTTCACTAACCATTTTAGGTTCGGCAACAAATTTTCCTCCAGCTAAATCGTTTCCCAGCAACTATGATACACCCTTAATTGGCAGAATAGGTCTTAGTCTTTGACAAATGACACTGGCAATCCCATACCCATACGTATCCTACGTGATACTGGGGTGACTCAATCATTGTTGTTAGAAGGTATATCGCCTTTAGATTCGAGTTCTGCCACTGGTGAGTCTGTTATTGCTCAGGGTATTGAGAGTGGTTTTGTTAATGTTCCTCTTCATAATATTTATTTAGCATCAGACCTAGTTTCTGGACCAGTTGTGGTTGGGGAACAGAACCAACAGACACAAAAGGTCTAAATTCCTCCCTGATTACGTCAGACTTTATATCAGTGGCCATATCAACAACATCGGGAGATCTGGTGAAACTACATCCATATGTGGACACAAACGCACCGGGTGTTGCTCCTTTTCTTTTTTCTTCTTCAAACACCAACAATCGGACATAACATGACCAAGTTTTTTTTTTTACAAAAATGGCAGACAGGCCTTGATTGTTTTAAAGAAGTTTTATTCTGACCGTCAAAAGATTCCGAACTAGAGGAGCTCGATTTTTTTAGAAGAATCCTCAACTTTAGTGGTTTAAACAGATGCAGGTTTTTGTTGAGATGGTAAGAATTTCTTTTTGTGAAAAGTGGTTTTATGTGTTAAATTGTTATCATCGGAAAGAGCGGCTGCTTCTTGTGTTGTTTCAACTTTCTTTTCGTCCAAGTACGTTTTGAGGTCGTCATGTGCACCACATTTAAATTCCTCAATTAGACATAATTGTCTTAGTTTGTCGAAACTGTTGCCAATATGCATAGAATTGCACCATCAATCAAAATAAACCTCTTTTTCATGTGCAAGTTCCATATAAGTTTGATTATCTTGCTTGCGATAACCTCGAAACATAAAAGAGCTGTTTTGAAAGCCACTGCCGTTTATTTCTGGGCTTATTTCGAAAGACAGTGACACTTGTTTATATTGCGACAGTTGGCAACATTAATAAGTATTCATAGGTTTATTCAAAACAAAAACACGTTTAAAAAATTGCAGAGTTTGAAATCCATTGCATTTGCTGATTGATGCTGACCATTTTTGTGTTGTGATTTGGTTATCTTGAATTAAGTAACTGTTGGATACTAATTCAATATACGTATTTTCACTTTTTGAAAGGGTTTACAATAATCCTTACTGAATGAATAATTAACAAAAAAGGAAATTCATCAAGGGTCACTTTGGTTATTCAGATCAGTTGATTGAACATAGTCATGTATTTTGGATTGTTATTGTAGTTTGTTTTTCTGGCAGTAGAGGGTTTCGAGTTGACATTTTTCTCGTTCACTAGATTGCATTAACAAGATGTCTCTTAAAGCTGTAGCTGTTTTAACCGGTGAGAAAGTAAAAGGCATTGTGTATTTCTCTCAAGAGGTATGGTGTTTACTTTTATGTAAACAATTTTTAGTAAAATTCAGCTGACTAAATTTGGTTGCAATTTAGCATGCATACTTAAATATGCTTTCAAACTTGATTTGCCTTTCTTGCTCTGCGGGGTTTTACGTCAACGCGTCATTACTCAATTTACTGCTCCCGTAATCATATACTGACTGTATCGTGATTTGTACTGCCGGTTGCCTGCGGTACCCTTTAGTTTGTTAAATTATGTATGCTATTTATATAATTCTATTTGTATTGATAATTTTTAAATTTTATAACTTTTGTTTAATATTCTTGAAAGATATATCAGAGAAAACTAACACTAATAGTACTTAAATTCGATGACGAGGAACCCACTTTGAGACTAATAATGGCTGGAGACGGCTTGAATGGGTAATGAAGAAAAACTTTAATATAAGTTTAACATAACAGCAAATGTACAACGTTTCGACAAGGTTTTGTGATCATCAGGTTGTACATTTGCTGTTATGTTAAACTTATGTTAAAGTTTTTCTTCATTACCCATTCAAGCCGTCTCCAGCCATTACTAACAGTACTTAATTCAACTCGGTATTTGGTGTAGATAACATTAACAGTGGTTACACAAGATTCTTTACACTATAGTATAAGTATAATTTATAAAGTAAGTGAGTAACACTAACAGTGTTCAGTTTCAGTACTATAAGTTGTAGTATTGAAATTGAACACTGTTACTCGCTTACTGTTAGTGTTAGCTTGCTTACGTAACTTACTAACTGCACAGCAGTGTAGCCACTTTTCTATAATATTACGGAAGACTACGAGAGATCATTTGGTTCTTCAAGCTTTTTCCATCCTGCACCCCCCTACTCCGAGTTAATTACCTCTTAAGGAAAATAAAAGTTTATTGTCTTCATTAGAGCCCAGACTGTCTTTTTATCAATGTTAAACTTTTATCCCATCATCTTATTGTCATTGGGATACAGGAAAACTAAACCAGAGACTTGTGGGTTTATCCTATTGATCCTCCAGATGTTCTTGTAAACTTCAGTAAATACATTTTACCTTTTATAATTTATTTCTCAGGAGAAAAATAATTTAAGGTATAACATAGGATATCCCTTTAGTCCCCTGAATCATCCTAGTAGTACTTTTCTGAAACTTTTACAAAAAGTTAATATCCTTTTCCAGATAAGAAGATCAAAACTATACACAGTATTCCAAGTGAGGCCTAACTGATAATATATATAAAGAGATAATTGCTTTTTTTGATTTGTGATAAATCTTGTCTGTAGATACATCCTAAAGTTCTATTAACTTCACCACTAGCAACAGAGCACTGCCTTGATTACCTGAGCTAGTGAGTAACTTTTCTGCTGTTCTGCCAAGATCATTTTCATAAATCATGTTATTGAATGGGTTCCCACATGTATTAAACACACGATACAAATTATGATAGCCCAAGTGCATAACCTTTCACCTATCAGCATATATTGTTATACAAGTTATATTTTTTATTGTTATATGAACATAATATGTGAACTTTAGTTTTTAGTAAACATGGTACATGCAAGTTACAGAAGGCTGATAGCCTAAAAAACTTTTTTTCATTTTGGTTCTTCCATTTTATATTTGTTTAGTTTTGCATTTTTGTGTATTTTAGAAGTCTTTTCATGAGTTATATATTTAGTTCAATATATGTTTATATGTATACATGCACTTGTTTTCAACCTTTTTATTTACTGTCAATAAACAGTAAATATTTTATAAGATTAACACTTTTTTTCAAGTTATAATAGACCATAAATTTCTTTATAACTTCAGATTCATTTCAAATATTTAACAGTCAATGAAAATATTAAAAATAGAAGTAGGATTAAAGAAATGGATTTATGAAAGAGTAACAAAATCTTTTGTTTCTTGGCATTTGCCCCCAGTTACTTGGGGTCTGCTTTTGTGGCCCTTGGACTCCACTCCTTCCTGTTCTGTGTCAGAGCTGCATTTACACTGCATTTTCTCATTTCCCCTTTCACCACATCCATTTACTTTTTCTTTGGTTTTCTCCTTGTCCTTTTCCCTTCCATTGTAATATTTATCACTCTCTTACCAACACATCTTTTTTTTTTATCCAGTTGGCTGAGCTGTCTAAGGCAATTTGGTCTAATCTTCTCCATAATTGGTATTACTTTCACCCTCTGCATAATGGTTTCATTTGTAATACAGTCTTTTTTGACACCCCTGTCATCCATCTCAACATCCGCATCTTCATTATCATTTGCACCTCTTTTTTTCTTAAACTCTAGAACTAAATCATACTACAAAGTTCCTTTTATCAGACTAAGATTTTCCTATTACAGAGGCAATACTAATTGGCCTATAATTTCCAGGGCAACTCTTTTTTTTTTCGTCCCTCTTTAATATACGTGTAACATCTGCAACTCTCCAATCCTCAAACCCCTGCCTACTATATATTAATATACCAACAATGAAAGTGATTGGTTTATATTTGCCATTTAAATTTTTCTCTAATGTTTAGTAGCATTAAAAATTATGGTTATTTTAAAAAATAATCTACTATCATGAGGAAATGTGGATGCTAATCTTCATTTTTACTCTTAATCACATGAAATTTAAAACTGTTCTTTCATATTTTACTGATTATTAGTTGCATTGTTTTTGGCCTAAGTTCTGTCCAAAATGTTTCTGTTGTTAGAATTTACCTAACATTTTATTTTCTGTGTTGTTTAAAGTGTTGAAATGAGCAGTTTCAACAGTATCTTCAATATACATAACATTGTTTATAGTAAATAACAAGTATTTTTATTTTTATCATATAGAGATAACTATATTTTAAAAATTTGGAACCAGCATGAATGTTTACACAATTTTAGGCCCCTGATTGCCCTGTAACAGTCACTGGTGAGATTTCTGGTCTTTCAAAGGGGCTTCATGGATTCCATGTGCACGAGTATGGTGATAATACAAATGGTAAGATTACTTCTAATTAGGGATGGTTAGAATATATATTGTTTTTACAAGTTGCTGAACTAAATTGTTTTCATGGATAATTGTAATACTGATGGATTGAATACACATAAAATGTGGCATTCATCAAGAATATGTCTTGTCATCTGTGCTCTTCGTGATATATATAGACCAGATTACAAAAGAAGTAAGTTTATTACCAAAAAGAAGTCAATAAACTCGTGTTTACTGATGATCAGGTCTTTTCCATTAAAGATGAAAAGAAATTCTCAGACCATCTTAACAAATTAAACATGTAATGCAAGAATTATAACACGAGAATCGTTAAGGCAAGACAGAAACGATGAACATTGAGAAAACACCAAATCACCTACAACTCGATACTGAGGAGACTCGAGCAGCATTAGGAGCTCAGGTATCTTGGGAGCATCTTCAGTGAAGATGGCTAATTAGACATAGAAGTAGAAATTCAATTGCCAGAAAGCAAACAGTATAACCTATCAGATGTCCTCCTTGCTGTTCCATAAAGACATCTCTTTAGAAATGTAGTATTGACACCAATAGTAACATATCAATGCCAGACATGGGCCGTCAGTAAGAGAACTAAAGAAAGAATAACCCGTGTGAAATGAGATGCCCTTGTAAAGCTGTGAGCAAGACTAGACTAGATAAAGTAAGAAAAAGCCAAATGATCAGACAAAAACTTGTAGTGAACTCTTCAGAGGAAGACCAAGGAAGTGTTAGATTGATGGTGTCAAAGAAACAGTTAAAAATGTGACCAACAACTACCTAAATGTCACACCTTACTCTGGAAAGACAGTTACATCTACCATAATGTTGAAGGCATAAATGAAGGAAAAAAAGAGGTTAATTGTAATACTTCTGTCATTGTTTTGAGCTTAAAGTAATTCTTTAGTCAGTTTCTTTGTTGTTAAGTCTTTAAATAAAAGTAACAGAAAATTAGGCTAAAGTTTCAGTTTATGAACCATTTTTGGATTGTACTCCTTTTTTTTTTTTTTACCAGACAAGATAATAATGTACAAGTTTGTATTATATAGGTTGTTTTATTGAATGTACTTAATTAACTGTTTTCTGTAATAAAAAAGATGTGATTATTTCATTTTACCAGAAGAACATATATTGGATAAATACTGACTTAAAGATTAGTAATCTGTAAAGGTTAAAGGAGTTAGTACTAATACTAACTGGTAATAGTAGTAGCACTGAAGAAAGATGCAAGTTCATTACACATGTTAGCAGTTATAAACTTTGAGTTTAGAACAAACTGACTAGGATTTACATTTGTGTGGTGAGAAATTTTGATACTAATTTGTTACAGTTATCAATATATTTATTTACAGGCTGTGTAAGTGCTGGGGGACACTTTAATCCTTTTAATCAAGATCATGGTGCTCCTGGTGACCAAGTGAGGCAAGAAATTTTCACTTTCTTTTCTTTACTATTCAGTATGACAGGTGAACCTTAGTGTTTGTAAATCAATGGATAGTTTCAACCATGAAACCAGCTATTTGTGATTTGAATCGTGGTCATTGGGTTACTCTCAACTTGACCTGAAACCCTCTATCTATTACAAAATAGGATGTTCTACAAAATGTTGCTGTTATTGCTTGCAAAATTGCTCAGTTTAAGATAGCCTAATTTGGTAATGTGATTTGCTTTATTATAAATGTTGGATATTCAGTTTATTTACTGTTACAAAAAAAAAGACTTCTAAGTTAATGGTTGATCAACTTAATGTATAATGTTAACAAACTTTTTAACAGCCAAATTTTTATAGGTTGATGTTCTCCAGAATGTTACACTGTATTTTGAATATGCATAATATTTTGTAAACTCATCTGTACTTCAGTCATTTCCTGTGTTCAAAAAAAAGTTTTTTCTTCATAAACTAAGCATAGTCATGGAATTGTCTTATTTCAGCTTGTTAAACAGTCATTTGTAAATAATAAAAAGCATGCAATTTAAGGACAACAAGGGATATGTTGGTCTATCTAGGCCATTCCATCTGCTAAACATAAAAAAACAACTTCAAAGCCAACCCAATTCTCTCAAATATTTATCAAGCATTCCCTTCATCTTCCTTAAATTTACTGCATCTGAAGACAACCCATTTCAAAAGCCAACCATTCAGTTAGAAAAATAAAACTCTTTGATGAAGATAGCTCCTACCCTGCCCAGATTTATGTTCTTTTGTCATACCTTTCTCACTATTAAGTATGAAAAAAGATGATGCATTGACACTGTCAATTCCCTTAACTCTCTCAGCATGGGCTCGGTCCCAGGGACCGACCTCAAAACCATATTGTGTTTGTTATAGTTTCCATACTATAACTTTTAAATTAGTCAGGATATCCTCACAAAATTTTGCATATTATCAGAAACATTACAAGGCATTCGTACACAAAATATTAGATTTTTCTATAAAGTTTTAAGATTTTTGTAAGTAATATTTTTCTCATGCTCTTTTTTCTTTTTGAATGTTGACTATATAACATGCAAAGTAATTTTGATTTTAAGAATAAAAATAATTTTATGCATCAGAAAATTTTCAAATTTCACATGCGAAATCTTTATAACCTCCAGATAATTATCAAATGTGTTTTTTAGAAAAAACATTATATTTTATTTGTTATTTTTACAATTGTAGCCCTGGATGGGTTTGGTCGATTTGACTGACCTTGTAACCACCATAAAAAAATTACGAAATAAATATAAATTATGCTTTTTTCGTTTGAGAATGACTACAAATTATCATACAAAAACACAAATGTTTAGTCTAAGTAGCTTAAATCTCATAACGATTATACATATATATATTTATTATTTTTATTATATTGACCTTTCAGCTGTGCTTGGCTGATGTTACAGAAGTTGCAATGACACAGTGCATGTGCACTCATGTTACTGTATCCAAGAATATAAAACTGGCCTTTACAAAATGATCTGTCTTGGCTGCATTTTAGTGGACTAGTATTATGTAAAATATGGTCACATTTCAGTTATAGTACATTATATATGTATATATAAATTATTACTATTTACAAATAAGTTCTGAAACTTGGTGGTGAGTGGTGATGACTATATGCCTTCCCTCTAGTCTTTCACTGCTAAATTAGGGACAGCTAGCACAGATAGCCCTCGTGTAGCTTTGCGCAAAATTCACAAACGAATACAAACTCCAGCCAGTTTTTCTACAAGGTGCTTGTCAGTGTTTGTTTTTAAATTTTTTTGTTTTTCACATTTGGTTAGTGTGTTCAGCTCATTGAATTGCTCAATTCACAACAGATAATTCCTGTCACATCCTTTGAAAATTAGTTTTTTGAAATTTGTAACCAAAATCTCATTATTCTATATTTCCATATATAGTAAAGCATTAAACCTAATTGAGAAATGATCTCTTGCACTCAGATATTCCCCATAAATAGAGGTGGGAAAGCATGGGCACAATGTACCTGTCCTGTTTTTTTAGGTGTACTACCACTATTTCGATTAAATTCCACCTTACATGAGTATGCAGTAAATTTTGCATTCTGGCACTTTGTTTATCATTACACCACTGCCAATAACCAATCAATAACCACTCTCAATCATTTGTATATTAGCAATTAATAATAAATCTAAAGTAGAATTGTTCCTAATTTCTGATCAATTGGTGAATAAAAGTATCTTGAATGGTTCCTAAAAACCTGTCTTCCTCATGATTTGACTCTAACATTTAGGCATGTATATGCCTCATTTTTAAATCCCCCATAATTGTGACCTTATTAACAGCTGTTATCTTAATGATGCTGTAGGGTTTCTCATTAGTTTTGTATGGTGGTCTGTAACAAATTTCCACTAAAGATCTCCCCCCACCCCTTATATCTGCTAACAGAAACCCAAATATTCAATCTTCTTGCTGTTATCTCTGATATTCTCAACTTTAACAAAATGTAACTCACATTTTACATATCCATACTCACTACTCCCCCTATGTTTTAGTACTCTTTCCCTTTTAAATAACCTAAAATCCTGTATTTTGAATAAGTGTCTGTCATCAAAATTATCTACATTTAACTAAGATTCAGTTATTCCCATTGTATCAAAATGCCCTGTTTTGAGTGGTGCTATTTTTATTTATTGCACTTCTACCATTATACTACTAACAATTTGGCCTACCCTTATAAATACTTCTGTATTTTGTTCCTAATTGTCTAATACTGTAAAGTTGTATTGTAGTACGTGCACTGTTGTAAAGTTATTTAATAGTTGCATGTAACAGAGTAAAACTGTCCTGTATTAATATATAAAAAGCATAAAACTATGTTGTAGTTTTAGATGTGCTAATGTAAAACATAATTTTGCTAATTTGTAGAACAAAGCTCGTAGCAGTAATATTGAAGTTACTCTGAAGTACCTCAATAAAAACTAATATGTATGGATTTAAAATAATATAATTACCCAACAGGCACGTTGGAGACTTGGGTAACGTAGAAGCTGGGGATGATGGTGTGGCAAAGGTGCAATTAACAGATAGACTGTTATCATTGACAGGACCTCTTTCTGTTGTGGGACGGTCAGTTGTGGTAAGTTTTTCTATTGTTGTGTCTAATAAATCGACTCACTTGCTGGTTTTGTTAGCCTTTTTTTATCACACATAAATTGTTCCTAAATCACATTGTAATTTTTAAATTTCTGATTTTTATGGAAAGAATTTGGTGATTATTATTTGATTTTTTTTAATGTTGATTCTTAAAAAAAATATATGCACATTAATGTGGATAACACATGTAAAAAACTTTTTTCATCATTGATATTAATTAAGCATTTTTAAAATTACAGAATAACTTTTCCTTGTGTGTTGCTTTTTTTAGATGTTTTAGTAAATAATTGAATGATTTTTTTAAAAGCAAATCTTGTTAGATCAGAATGTATACAATTAATCCACAACTCATGTTTTAATTTTTTGTTTCTAGGTCCATGCAGATCAAGATGACTTGGGAAGAGGTGGACACGAACTTAGCAAGACAACAGGCAATGCAGGTGGTAGAGTTGCTTGTGGAGTGATAGGTATTACCAAGTGAAACTCAAAACATGACAAGTTGATGACGAAAAAGTTAGCTGTTGTGCATTTATAGTACTTAAGAAGCATATATTTCTAAATTCTATGTATTCCAATTAATCTAATTTATGCTTGTTTTTTATAATTTATCTCGTAGTATATTTATTAAAGCAATGTATTTTTAATCTACGATTTATGTAGAATAAAAACTCTTGTTTTGATGCAATTTAATCTCTCTCTCTCTTGATTTAAAAAAAAAATTGTTTCATATGGATGAGTTAAAAAGATTACAATTTTTTATCTACTCATTTAAAGCTACAACATATATTTGGAGGGTGTCTTCAGAAGTTTACGTACAAGTTTGATGGGAATAACCATAACAGTGTTATGGAAGGAAAAAAATCTTGGTGTGGTGATTGATTGATCTCTTAAGCCATCCAAGTAGTGTGCTGTTGCTAGTGGTGGGGAAAATAATATTACAGGTTGTATCTATAGAAATGCTAAATACAAGTCTAAAGATGATATAATTTCATTGTGTTGGTCACAGGTTAGGCCACATTTAGATTATTGTGTTCAGTCTTGGGCTTCTTACTTTAAGAGGGACATTTAATTGTTGGA